GATAACTTCACATCAGACCTACATAATAATATTTTGCATAATACATGTATCAATGTTGCTGTTTGAAAACTATTTCGGTATTGGCTTAGTGTTCTTATTGTGGTTTAATAGTTTGTTTTGTACTTATCTTAGGTGGATACCGTGGCGTATCATATGTCTGTCTTCAAAACCATACTTCCAAAATCAATGTCCTCTCACCGTCCCCAAATCCCCATGAAAACCGTTGTCTCTGTCGAGATTTCAGAGATAAACATAAACATTATGAAGAAATTTTGAGAACAAACAAACCATAAAGGCATCTTGATCGAGGTTGTAGACGTCCAAGACCTTACAAATACCAAAATCGAAGACTTTATGGAGCAGTTTAGTGGGCTCGATCTGGTTATTAGAGGTGGTACATGCAACAACCTCGATTTAACCAGTGGAGTTGGATCGAATCTAAGCATATGTCGTTAACCCTTGGGCTTCACAAATTAAAAACCCTGACGTTTAGATACGAGTTAGACCACGAACTAATAAAGGCCTATTACAATAAGTTAAAGCCATTCCGGTTCATGAAATATAACTGTGGCTTCTTCATACATAGTAAAAGAAAGGGCATGCTTCGCGATTTCGTCCGCGTTCTGATTCGCATAAACGAGGGAAAGAGGTCAGCTACTCGAGTTGACTCCTCGTGGAAATACCGAAACTTCTTGAAAGCTATTTTCAAGGAGACTCAACTACTCCCCCTTGTCACGTCCATAACTAGGCCCTTGGAATCAACACAGCAAACTCTATTCTTAGGTTTATGGAACACAATAACAACAAAATAAATCGCTAAACTAACTAACCAATGTATCTCTTGACAGATTTGAAGTCGGCACAGATTGGCTAAAATTACTGAGATCATCAGATGAAGAGTGATCAGATTCTGATTTCACATTCTCCACAAATTTCTTTTTCTTTCTTGAATATTCCCCTGAAACAAAAATCTAACGTTTCAAAAATAGAAATGGGTCTCAATAAATGTAAATGTAGACATTGAATAATGATCCCATTATACCAATTTCATCACTCTCGTCGTCTTCTTCAAAGGCACGAGACGTTGCGTATTGGATCTTACAGCAACTTGGTCTTAAAGCAATGACATGGAACAACATGTCTCCTTCGTGTCTAAAGACAATGAATTCACCGATTCGAAAATCATGTGCCTCCACAAACTCTTTCCAGCCGTTTGTGTGTTTGTGGCCTTCCATCTTCATTTTCCATGTTCTCTCCGACACATCTGATCTCAACTTTACGGTCTTGCCCTCGTATTTTCCCTCGATGTACTTGAAGAAAAATTGCACAGGAATTTACTGCAACAGAAAAACGGAACATTTGTCACCTCAAAGAGTCTCAGACATACTTTGAACAGCTTCCTGCAACTGCAACAGAAAAACAGAACATTTGGACAAGTCCTCGTATTTCTAAAGTGGCTTCATTGGGATAAAAAATATCGTCTAACTCGGCATCATCCAAAGTCACCTCAAAAAGTCTCAGGTATACTTTGAACAGCTTCCTGCAACTACAACTTGACAAATCTTAAATTAGACAACAACCAAAAAAAAGAACATATAAAGACTTGAATAATTTGGGGAAATCTCTATATCAAATTCAAAATAAAAATAATGACTATTACATGAGCATCCACCACCAGGTAAACATAAAAAAGGACTTAATTAAAACTGCAATATTTTGCTTATTGCTCATGAAAAGCCTAATAGGCTCCCTTAAACGAACCAATTTAAACAATAACCTCAAACAAAATGTTCTTTTAGTGATTGAAGAACAATGACTTGACAAGCGGAGGAGCATCTTGGCATTGCAACGAGTTCTGTAACGAAGTCACACTTTTTCTTTTTCGGGTGATAGATATCAAGCCTTAATTTCTCCAGGAATGTTGAGTTCTTCAGGAAGTATCTTATTAGCCCCGTTTCAATTCCACAAACTTGAGCGATGATACCATACACTCAGGCACTGTTGAAAACGTGATCACCTTTGGTTCTCTATTCTTCTTCTTTTGACGCGTGTGTCAGAACACATGCGATGCTATTCATTTCAAAAAAAAAAAACACATGCGATGCTTGATAGGTTAGGGTTTTTCTGAAGATGACACAACTCAAGGCACACAAGTAAAAGAAGAAGAACTAACCGGAATGGAGTGTTATTAACACAATCGATTAAGACGCATCTTCGACTTCCTCCATGGTCATGCTTTCTTCTCTGTCGTGTGATGTGGCTTTCTTCTCTGTTGCAGACGGCTTATAAAGGTGATCATTTTGAGATTAGGGTTTTGGTTGGAAATTGAAATGGAAATGTCCCTTGAACAGGACCAACTCGGTTTACTCACCCGAACCGGTTATGCCTCATTTCGGACAGTAAATTGCTCAATTTGACTAACACAAGATGATGATGATGATTACATGACAAGTTAGTATAACCGAAGCCAAACCAACCATGAAACTAGTGTACACATATTCTCTTTGTCTTTACACAACCACGACTTCACATTCAGCAAATGACTTACTAAAGCACAGGAGAAAGGAGAAGATCACATTTTCATTCTTGCTTAGCAAGTCTTGTTACTCCTTTTCTTTTATCATCCATCACTTGCTACATATTTTACTAATTTCATCTCCAACTCCGTCCTAGAATTTCATGCGTAACTAGTTTTCAAGTTAAGTTAAGGTATATTTGCGATCACGTATGGGAGAAACTATACTCGCGTACTTTTTATAATTATAACAAACGAATAAAACTGCGTCAAATCACACACTCCGTTTTTGTTTGGATATCAAAGATAAGCAATTGACTCTTTTAGAGTTCCTAAAAGATTAAATCAAAGGAAAGCAACTTAGCAAAACTATGAGCAAGTTTTGTTCCTCATTGACTTCAATATACCTGTAGGAAGCTAACATCACAGCTCGATAGCTCATTGTAGAGACTCACCGTCTTCACAACAAGTTCCAAATTTCCAGGAAAGTCAAGGTCTGTAGGATCACCATTCTCTTTGGCAGCATATAACTCCATCTGCTTCAGACACGGGAAAGACTCCAAAAAATGCCTTATCATTTCCATCTCTCTCTTTGTTCCCCTAAACCCTTCAATCTGCATCTTTTTCACTGGACAAGATTTGAGCGAACGACCTTTTTCCTCCTGAGAAATGCAGTCACAAGCATCCCCGCATTTTTCTGTCACATAGTGTAAGAGACCCTGGAAGCAGAAACGATACAATAAGGGACTTGAAGGAATGATCTCCGTCTTTGGTAATGATTTGACAAATGAGTTGTGTTTACACCTCAAGGACTAGAGTCTCTAAATGTGGACAGTTCCTTAGGAGAACCGGCATTGCTTGCCATCCCTCTGTCTCTCTACTCTTAATTTTTAACCATTTGAGGTTGTTGAACACCGGCATTGATTCACAGCATATAGAAACCACCTGAAACAAGACAAAACCCAGCTCCGACGACATTTGTTTCAAATTCACGTTAAGACGATCTTTGATTCTGCATTAAAATATGTGCAAAGGCTTAACATAAGAAAGTTTTATATGGGTTGGAAACTCATGCTTCAGGAATTCGAATTCACACAAGGATGAGTCATTTCTTTTACTACCTTTGGGACCAGCCAAAAAGTTATTACAGGAGAGAACAAAATAGCAACTGACCTCGAGAATTCCAGGAGATAATGTAAGTTTCTGAACATTTCTTATGCCACTCATTAGCTTCCACATGGGTTAACAACACCAACCTCATCATTATTTAGCCCTCGTATTAGCTTGATTTGACCTTCATGTGACATAAGGTTGAGTCGAGCCTCAACTACATTTGCCATGTTAAGTTTTGGATAGTCCTCCGCAACAAAATCAGAATACTCAAAGTAAAGCAGAGTTGGAGTATCAAAAGAAATGGTCTTTGGATTAAGCAAGGCTATACAACTGTTGGCATATATAGTTAGCTTCTTGAGGGTTGCACTTGACACGGTTTCACCCGAACTTCTCCAGTGAAACCTAGTCAAGTCTACAGGGAAAGCCGGCAGAAGCATCTCAAGCTTATCCGAGAAAATCCAACATTGGTCAATAACCAGAGTTTTAAGCATTGGTGAGAAAATGCAATTAGATCCAGGCCACCACTGAGTCCTCCTGATGAACATGGTGTGAGACAGAAAGTAATCATAATTGTCACCACCGATGAAAAGTTGAAGGTCCGAAGCACCGCGCTGCAGCACAGTACATATCCAACGGTTCATACGATCTGAATGAGGGAGAATTTCTTAATGGGAGAATCACCCTGCAAAGCCAATAACCTATCCACAAAACCCACAAAAGGCTCTGCAGCATATCGTCTCTTTTCCGCTTACTATTTTGAGGATGCAGAAAGAGACAGAGTCATCAATATCAAGAACAGGGACAAATGCAAGCAGATTGCGCCACCTCTTTGAGAGAATCGATCTCAAAGCAGCCTCCTTTGTCGTAAGGAAGGACAAAATATGAGGAAGAATCTTGTCCGGTAGATTGCTGAAGCGATCCATCTCCTGTGCACGAATAACAAAGGTAAATTACTACACAAACAGAGGCCAAACCATTACCAAGCAATTGATTCAAACATGAATTTAAAGCAAACAGAAATCCAGCCCAAGTAAATTGATTTTGAACCTCTGAACAAAAAACACGCCTAAAGAAGAAGGATTGTAACCTTAAAAGCCCAGCGACCAAAAAATTTGTTCCCGAAAGCCCCAGCTCTCAATACAATTTCTTTTTGGTTTTTTTTAAGTGAAAACATAGCTAAAGACCAATCCATCCTTAATGAATCAGATATATTATATGACTCAACCGCATAATCTTACCCGAACCCGGATCCACCCGGATCCTAAACAAAATTAAAACAAAAAAAATAGATCCCTCTTTTTTACAGTTTCGCGTTTTTTCCCTTCTTCTTCCCCATCTCTTTTTTCCTTCTCGAAGGCGATTCCGACGATGAGCGAAACCGAAGCAACCGGCGTTACTGAAGATTCGGCTCCGGTAAATTTCAGCTGCTTGATGCGACGGATGATAAAGCGATCGGGGTGGTCGATTCCGTGGAGGAAGCCATCGGAGGAGCAGAGAAATGGGTTGATGATTTCAGCCGGACGGTGAAGGAATCGACGGATTCCACCATTCGCTCTGCTCGTTCCCTCCGTGAAAACTCTACCTCTTAGTTCCGATCTATACAGGTTAA